CCCTTTTGTTTTTTTTTTTAATTTTATTTTTTTCTCGGTTTTTTTATTTATTTTTCATTATTTTTTTTTGGATTTTTTTCCAGTTTTTAATTTTTTTATTTTTTAGGTTATTATTTGTTTTGTTTTATTTTTTTGTTTTTTATTTGTTGGTTTTGTTTCAATTTTTTTGGTTATTATCTTTTTGTTTTGGTTTCCTTTTTTTTTTTTTTTGTTTTTTCTTTGTATTTTTGATTTTGTTTATCTTTTTGATTTTTTTGTTTGTTGTTTATATATATATATATATATATATTTTTTTTTTTTTTTTCTTTTTGTTTATAATTTTTTGTTTTTGGTTTATGTTTATATTGTTTTGTTTATGTTTATATTTTTTTTTCAAATTTGTTTTATTTTTTTGTATGTTTATATATTTTTTTTCAATTATTTGTATATTGTTTTATTTATTTATTTATTTTTATTTACTTTTTTTATGTTCATATTGTATGTTTTGGTATTTTTTTTTTGTTTTTGTGTGTATTTTCTAATTTGTTTAAATTTTTTTTTTCGATGTTGTGTACTTTTTTTTTTAATGTCAATTTGTTAGTATTTTTTTTGTTTATTTGATTTTTTTAGTTAGGTATTTCTATTTTTTGTTGTTGATACTTTAAAAAGTAGATTATTAATATAAATAATAATAACAACAATTGCTATTAATTTTCGTTATTTAAATGGAGTTAGGCAACGCATTTTCGACCTGGTGCGGGGAAGAGTATGGACGTTATGAGAAGCTAAGTACAATCTACTCAATGGAGAGCTCGGGCCCCAGATACGTTAGATCCCGTGGTATTTCGGCCTCCTCCTCATCACCATCATCACAATTAACAAGTCAGCAGTAAACTAAAAAACATTCTTAAAGATAAATTAAAGTAAAGTACTGTACTAGAGTCGGGCATATTCACCGACAAAGAAGATTGGCTACCACTTGATGACGACGTACGACCACGACCACGACCACGAATGTACTCAATCGCACTCCTGTTCCGCCGTGCTTGTCAACCTCTAGGTCGCTCGACCCCTTTAGGTTCCTCATGATCCAAGCATGACGTGTTGAGCATGTCATGAAGTACGTGGGTAGCATCACGAATGATTGAAGGGTGACTGGAGGACACTTGGTCAAACATCGAACGAAACTGCTCCAACTCCTCCTGTTCACGGTGGACCGTCTGTGGAACAACATGCTCTCCAATAACGAGCGTCCGCAAGAATGGATGAACCTGATCAACATGTAACGACACCCTATCTTGCGTAATTACGCGGTGAATGGTGCATGCACAAGGTAGTCCATGAGTCACTGATATAGCACATCCACACTGAATAGCCACTTCATCACCCAACTCCCTTATCCTCACTTGAAATTATTAACACATATTAGCACATAATTTCAATTTAAACCATAATTTTGTTTTTTTTTTTATAAATTATTCACACATATTTAAAACATAATTTCAAATTAATTTTTTTTTTAAAAATTATTAACACATATTTAATTTCAAATTTATCAAAGTTAAAAAAAAAACAAAACAAAACTTTAAATAAAATTAAAAAAACAAATAAAAAAATTAACTGTGGCGGTGGCGCCTGGCCGGGACGCCGCCACCATGGTTAGGGCAATCCAGCCAAACGCCATTACCATGGTGGCGGCGTCCTGGCCAGGCGCCCCAGCCACGGTGGCGGCGTCCCGGCCAGGCGCCACACCCATGGCGGCAGCGTCCCGACCAGACATCCGCCACTTATTCGTAATTTTTAAACGTAAAGTACCTCGTTTTCCGGCGACGATGATGGCTCTCCGATGTATCTCGCCGACGATGACGGCTCTTCGGTGTCCCTCGGCGATCCAGTGCTGCTCCACATTTTTTGGTGAGAGAATATTTCGTTTTGGGTAAAAATTAAAAAAAGGGCAAAAGTGTCAAAGTTTTAAAAATTGTGGGTTTTAAGTAGAGAATTGTGGACGATTTTTATCAACTCCCAATTAAGGCAGATTTGAATGAAGCGTTGTTGGGGAGGAATAGAAGGATAAACCTTGGAAAAAAAAAAGTTGACATGGCTCTCTAGATTTTCTTTAAAGTTTCCTAATTTAAAATATTAGTATATAGATACAGGATTTAATTCTGGGCATTTGCTCGGGTATAATCTAGTACAACTGTACAAGTATAAATTACTACACTAAGGCCTCGTTCACTTTACCTTATTTTTGTTGATCTGAAATTATTTTTACTGAACTTAAATTATTTTACTGAACTTAAATTAATTTTACTAAACTGAAATTATTTTTGCTGAACAGAAATAATTTTTACTGATTTTATGTTATATTTCCTCTTTAAAGTTACTGATTTTTACTGAACTGAAATTATTTTTACTGAAGTGAACTTATTTTTATTGAACTGAACTTATTTTTGCTGAACTAAAATTATTTTTACTGAATTGAAATTATTTTTACTGAATATTTTTTTTAAGGTGGAGTTAACAGGGCCTAACTCTAATACGACATTGATCATTTGATCTCTTCCCCCGCATAAATAATTCCCTTAAATCTAAGTAAAAATTAGGATTTTTTTGTGAATCACTACCATTTTACTTTGCACTTTTTGTAAACAACTACCATTTAAGTTTTTTTTTTCTTTTTTTCTTTTTTTTTTTTTTGTAAAACAACTACCATTATTTGAAAATTTGTTTGAGTACCACTACCATTTAACGGTAATTGTTAAATTAAACCCTAACCAGCCACCACTCCCCCACCAGTCCACCACCATTACCACTGATCCCACGAGACCACCAACTCAACTAGCCACCATGAAACCCCCCCTCCTTCCTCTTCATCTTGACGTACTCCCATTCCCTCTCCTCCGTGCCTTCCGCTGCCAAATCCCACCCCTCTGCATCGCCTCTTCTTTCTCCTCCATTTATCGAAACCTCAATGCCCACTCACACCCGCATAATCAGGTAGGGGAGTGGTGTCGTGGTGGGTGGCTAGTTCGGTTCAAGTTGGGGGAGTAGTGGTGAGTGGCTGGTTCGATTTGGGTAGGGGAATGGTGGGTGGTTGGGGTTCGATTCAGGTAAGGGATTAGTGGGTGGTTGGGGTTTGGTTCAAGTGGGGAGTTGTGGGGGGTTAGGGTTCAAGTGGGCCCCACAAGACGGTTTTTAACTGTTGCCGTTAAATGGTTGTGGTACTCAAACAAATTTTCTAATAATACTAGTTGTTAAAAAAAAAAATGATAGTTGCTTTCAAAAAGTGGAAAGTAAATGGTAGTGGTTCACAAATTTTCCTAAAAAATAATACAGTAAGTTTTTTTTATTTTTTTTTTCTTAACCGATTATCTCTCCTTTTTTTCTTCTTGGGTTGCATTTCAACCTTGAACTATCCCTCTCTTTCTCCCATTCTCCTAACAATTTCCATCGTCCTGGTAATGCATTTTGATCCTTTTCGTTTCTTTTTTTTTTGTTCACATTTTATCCTTTTTTGATCAATTTATGCTATAACAATGAATTGAATCACATGTATGATGACTTAATATAATGTATATTTTTTTTTTGGTGCATATTTTTGTTTCGCGTTATTGAATCATGAATATCCACATCAATCTATCTTTTGTGTCCTTTTTCACACAAGAAGATTGGGTGCATATGGTTTTCGCGTCTCAATTTTTTTTAATGTTTATGGGAAATGCAAACTTTTCTTCTTTACTAATGTAGTTTTTCTTCTAACATTACATTGTGAAATTGCTTAAATTTTTTGAATGTTTTCATGATATTTATATACAACATAGGTTTATCTTTTATGGATAATTGGTTAATACGTCCATTCATATTTTCATATAGTTTGGCTTGTATAAAAAATAATTTATTGTTCTTATGCATTGAAGGTTACACTTAATTTAGTGACTAAATTTGACATTTAGTTTAGCAATTAGTATTTTGTGATTAAACTTTGTTCATGCAAAAAAATTGTGCAATATTCAATTTTCTTATAGGAAAAATTCATGGGAATAATCTCACCTTTGCGTCATTCGTTTTTAATAATTTCACCTTTGGATTATTTTTTAATAATCCCACCTTTACCCCCCATTCTTTTTTAATGGTCCTGGATGACCAGTAACCGGTTGAAGAGGTAAATTTTTTTTTTAAGTTTATTTTACACGTGTCACCACGTAATTGGTAAAAAAAATAAGTTTTAATTTTAATTTTGTTTTAAGAAATGATAATTAGCAATTAACATTAATTACTTATTTTTAATAATTTTCTCATGAAAAAAAAAACTAAAAATTAAAACCACTACCAGCCACCTCCCTGCCCCACCGTCGTCCCAGCCCGAGCATCGCCGCACCCCGACCGTCGTCCCAGACCGACTGTTAGCCCCGCTCCGGTCGCCACCTTTATTCCGGCACCTTCCGTCGCCTTAAACCACCAAATTCATTTCCGAAATTAAAGGATGGGAAGGAGAGGGGGCCGAAATCGAGTCCTGGGAAGGGCAAAGGGGCCAAAATTGGGGCGAGGGGAAGGGGAGGGGGCCGAAAAAGGGATAGGGGAAGGGGAGGGAGTCGAAAATGGGGCGGCGGAAGGGGAGGGAGGGAGGGATAGGGGGGCGGTGAACGTATTTTAGAGGGTGGTTGGTGGTTCAAGGGGTGGGAAAGGGTGTTGGCGGTTCAATGGGAAGGGGGAGGGCAGTCGGCGTGGCCCTCTGTCGTCGGTGGGCAGGCAACAGGGAAGGCTGGTTGTGGTGGGCAGCCGTGGAGGGTGGTTGGGTTGGTGGGATATTTCTTTTCTTTTTTTTTTTTTTTTTTGAAACAAGTAGTTTCTTGATTAATTAAGTATAATTTTTTAATTATTTTTTAAATTTTTTTTATATTTTAGGCCAGTTAGATTGCGACACGTGGCATGTTGACCGGTTGGGACCATTAAAAAAGAATGGGGGGTAAAGGTGGAATTATTAAAAAATAATCCAAAGGTGGGATTATTAAAAACGAACAGCCCAAAGGTGGGATTATTCCCATGAATTTTTCCTTTCTTATATTTTCCTCTAATTAATTTGTGGAATGTTATGGTGCATGCAGACTATTGATGTATGGTTATAGTCACTCCTTCCTCAACATCTTGCAAATAATCTAGAATTACTATAAAATATAATTACATGTTAATGAAGTGAGGTGCAAGCAAGAATCATGGATGGAAATGTGTTTATTCGCGCTGTAGAAGGAGTAAAATTTATTAGGTCCGAAGAGGGAATTATACGCACTAAGCCCTTTTTGGATTTGTGCAAATTGTTACTACCCCTTATAGGTATTTCCCTTTTTCGATCTCTTGTACATAGTCGATGCTTGCTAACTAGCTTAGTTTGTGGCTTGAGATCGAATCCTTTTTACATGCACGCGTAGCAACTGCGCTGTAGGTTTTATATAATAATAATTATCTCAAATGTGATGTTATAGTTGTAATCTTACTTTATTTTATCTTTTTACAGACAAGTTTGGCTCACAAATGTCCTGTATAAAGGCTGATGTTGCATGTAATATCACAGTAAGACAGTTGATGATTAATGTTTTTTATGTACAAAATTGAAGTTTGATTTTGCATAGCTTCAAATTTGGCTACCTTTGATCATAAAAAGTTATAGTAACAAAAATTATTTACTTCATATATTTTCTTCTCATTTTTTTATATATATATATTTATAATTTGAGTACACATTTCTTTTTTCTCTTTTGCAGAAATTGGAATTGAAATATGCCTCTAACCCTTCGAAATACAGTAATTTGTGTACTATGACAAAAGAGGAGGTTGATTCTAAGATAGCAAGGAGTTCATCAAGTTGCACTAATGCACTTGTTTGGTTGAACAGGTAATACTAATTGTTAATTTCGAAGTTCAATTTCTTGGATGGATATATTTAGTTAGGCTTCGTCGGTAATATAATTTTTCCAACCATATAACTTAGTATCTACTTAAGTTACTTGTAACACATGATCATATGTTCATTTTCTTTTTGACATTTTTAGGGCAATGGATTTTATGGTACAATTTTTTCGCAACCTATTAGAGCATCCAGAATGGTCCATGGCACAAGCTTGTACAGATTCTTACAAGAGAACACTAAAGAAATGGCATGGTTGGATGGCCATCTCAACCTTTAAGGTATACTTTTTTTTTTTTTTTTTTTCTCAAAAAAAAAAAAAAAAAAGTATACTCATACAATATAATATTAGTTAAATTATTTTAATGTGTTTCAATTTTTTTTTTTATTTAATGTAGATGGCCTTTAATTTAGTGTCTGCAAAATTATTATAATCCTACTCATACAATATCAAGTACTTTTACACAAAGGAATATAATCAAATTTCTTACGTGAATTTTTCAGGTTCTCATTAAGCTTGCTCCAGACAGAAAGAAATTTATGTGCTCAATAGGTGGGAGTGTCGAAATTAATGCTGAGATTGAAAATTTATGTAGAACTTTTGCTTCAGTACTTGAAGAAAATCACAAAATCTTGGTAAGTGTATTGAAAACATCAGAATAACATGCAAGTAAAGTATCTAAACAAACTCATATATTGAAGTTCTGTAATTGCTTATGATTGTCTTACTCTTGTTACAGGCTAGTTTTGGAGTTGATGATATTAAAACTCCATAAAGCTAAGTGTACATACGTTATACAAACAAGCGCGTTTGATGGTTTAGCAGACTTAATGGCGCAACTTTTATGACCATTTCTCTAGCAAGCTTAAGCTCTACTGCTAGAGTTGAGTAGCCTTTCTATCATTCTTGTAACAAACGAAGAGTAATTACTACGAAGTATTAATTAGTTGCTCAACCATCATGTAATTAGTTGCTCCACCATCATGTACATGATCCCTCCCTTTTTGAGCAAGAATTCGTTTCTCAAATCCTACATTTCTAATAAAATATACATTTTTGTACGATGCCATATGACAATTTTTTTATTTTTTTTATTTTTATGATTTAAATGTGGTTTCAAGCACCAAGAAAAAGGGGAAAAAACAGAACAAAAACAAACCACATGACATACAAACGAAACCAAAACTAAAAAACTACCTACAGAGGAATAAGACGTGGCAAGGCCACACCTTGTACATCTTCCTCCAAGATACGACAAAGTTCTAACGGGACATCATTAAAATAATCCAATTGAGAGTCCTGAACGACTCCGCGGTTGGCCAACCAATTCGCCGCTCTATTGCCTTCCCTGTACACATGGACAAGCTTCACTTCCCATTGCTTTGTAGAGATCAGTTCCTTGCAATATTTGATGTCACGTATGTTCTTGCCTCTTGGTACTTCCTGCTTGTTGAGGGCTTGAATGCACGCAACATTATCCATCTTTATTTTGAGCTTCGCAATTTGGCAATTCTTAGCTAACTCCAGCCCCCTAGTCAAAGCCATGACCTATGCTCTAAACGCAAAACAGTACCCAAAGCTTGCTGCAAACGCTATGACAAAGGTGACTGCATAGTCTCTAATAATCGCGCCCCCCCCCCCACCCCAGCTGGGCCTGGATAACCCTTCGCAACACCATCGCAATTAAGCACAAACCACCCATATGGTGGAGCTATCCATGAAATGTTAGCAGGAATTTTGTACCTCTTATTAGCCGCATCATCCCCTAGAGTATCCCATATAGCCCTCCTTGCCTCATCATATCTAATTTGGTGAAAGACTCGAAAATCAATTGGGACCTCATCTCGTTAATTGAAGTTGAAGCAATTTCTCCTCCTCCAAATCCACCAAGTTGTCACTCCAAAATATGTTATCCAAGATTCACCTTCCAAGTCATCATCTTTCACATTCTCGGTGATCCAATCTCGAAGATTTCCTTGAAAAAATCGATGTGCAAGTGAAGCATCAACCGTTTTTTCTCCAGATTACCTTCGCCGTAGGACAGTCACGGATGATATGAAGTGTGGTTTCTTCTGCAGCACCACATATATAACATCTAGGATCATCGGTCATTTTACGCTTGAAGCGGTTCAAATTCCCCAAAATTCTATCATGACGAGCCAACCAAAGAGATGCTCTTATTCTTTGGTGAAGCGGGACATTCCAAATCGCATCCTAACAGTCATCATCAACAACATCCTCGTGCTTCATTATGCTCATCACTAACTTGATGGTGAATTTTTCTTTATCCCCTTCTTTCCAGTATACCAAGTCTCCAATGCTGGGTCCGGGCGAACCTCATGGTTTTGAATCTTTTTTAACACTGTTTGATCAAGGTAAGGGGAGAAAACATTCCATCTCCATCCAACCCCGTCTTCCCACATCTCTTCGACGGTGGCACCTTCTAGCTCAGCCGGCACAAGTCGAATAGCTAGATCACTGAGTGGCTCATGAGCCCACTTGTGATCCCAAAAAAATGTCTTAGTCCCATTGCCTATCGCAACTTTCACACCCTAGCTCAAATGTTTTGCATTTTCAGTGATTCCACTCCAAACATTAGACATTCCGGCTTTAGGTTCAAACATATCAACGTCGCAACGTCCTTTGCAATATTTCGCTCTAAGCACACGCGACCAAAGAGATTGAGGCTCCGATAACATCCTCCAACCAAGCTTCGTTAGGAGCGCTGCATTAGCTTGGCTAGCCGAGTAGACGCCAATCCCTCCCTTTTCCTTAGGTCTTTGAAGCGCTTCCCATGACAACAGATGTACACCTCTTTTTTCCTCACTGCCTCCCCATATAAATCTCCTTGTTTTTTTTTGTCGATTTCTTCATCACAAGTGGCTTTGGGAATCTTAGGCGATTGCATCGAGTAGAGGGCCATAGTCGAAAGAGTAGACTTTGCGAGTGTGATTCTCCCAACCAAGGAGAGATGCTTAGTCTTCCAACCCACTAACCTTCTATCTATTCACAAAGGTGGCTAAATGACTCTTTTGTCACCCGACTTGTAAGCGTCGGCATACTTAGATACATGCCGAGATCATCTGTGTTTTCCATTTGTAACTCTTCACTTACTGCATTTCGTGTTACAAGGTCGACATTAGCCTAATAATAGACTCTAGATTTCCCAAGGCTAACTTTTTGGCCTGAAGCCCTACAAAATCTCTCAAGACAGTAGTGTATAATCTCAGCTTAATCAGTGCTAGCCTCCGCAAACAAAATAATATCGTCTGCGATAAAGAGGTTTGATAAAGCAGGTCCATCTCGGGTAGCCTGAATGGGCTTCCATCTTTTGTTCACAATCGACTCCTCAAGAACCTGATAAAACCTCTCCATGCACATTACAGATAAATAGGGAAAGAGTGGGTCGCCTTGTCGAATACCTCTACTCGGCTTAAAGCTTTGAGACGGTACGGTTCACCATTCCTCAAAACTTGAAGCGATGCCGACGAAATACACTCCATGATCACATCAATCATTAGAATAGGAAGATTCATTTGAACCATAGTGTCTCGAATAAACGATCATTTAAGGCGATCGTAAGCCTTCTCAAAATCAATCTTGATGGCCATATATCCCTTAGCTCCCTACTTTCTCCTCATGGTGTGTATCACCTCTTGGACTATCACAATGTTGTCTCTTGTCTTTTATTTGTCTTCCCAGAACGAAGCTAGCTTGAGTATTCGAAATCAACCGAGGCAAAATTGGCTTTATGCCACATTGCAAAGTCCAATTGGACGGAATTGAGAAGCTAATTCTGGATTCTATTTTAGGTATAAGTGTGATAAGAGTTTCATTGAGTTTATCTGGAATTCCTTTACCCTCCAAAATAGGCATAACAGTATTGTATACCGTATTCGCAACCACTTTCCAATTCTTTTGATAAAACAAAGCTTGAAATCCATCCAGACCCTGGGCCTTTAAAGCACTCATATCCTTGACAACAAATTCGATCTCCATCTTGGTGTACGGTTTAACAAGCCTGCTCCAATCTTACAGCAGTAATTCGGGGAAAATGTCTTGCGGGACATCGAAAAAATCTAGACCTCCCTCTTCTGTAAATATATTTGAGAAGTATTTGACAATGTGACTCTGAATTTCCAGCTTGTGATTGAGCCATTCATCATTATCATTATTCTTGATCGCTGCTATTTTATTTTTCCATCGTCTTACAATATAACAAGATGAAAAAATGTTGTATTACGATCTCCGTTTTTCAACCAATCCACTCTAGATTTTTGGTACCAGATTAATTCTTCTCTTTCAAGTTCTTCATCCAACTCGCGACGAAGTCTTGCCTTAAGCTTAATTAGCCCTCTATCCGTTTGTACAACCAACCTTTTCTGTATGCCTGCAATGCGAGCTAGGAGCATCCTTTTTTGCTTGAACACATTCCCAAACACGTCACGGTTCCAAGTTTGCAGCCCCGTGGACAATTTTGACAAATTGGGCATAAGATCCCCTGACAAATCCCACTTCTCCTGAACAAAATTCTTGAAGTTCTTGTGGGTTAACCAAGCGGCCTGCAATCGAAATGGATGATGAAGGTGTTGGAGATAATAGTAAACAAGGGAAATTACAAAGAAATATGGAAATGAAAACAGAGAAATTTATCCGAGTCGTGAACGGAATCACTTTCCCAAAAGTGTAATTTCGACCCTAATACTACAACCGGGTTTCACGAAAAATTCACTTAGGAGATAAAACTGAACAATTATAATTTGTTGTAGTCAAATTGTAATCACAATGATTCAAGTGGTTTTTATTTGTGATGATGAAAATATTGGGAACTTGCAATACGTTGTTAGAGAATGGAAACCAGAAAACTGACTTTTTCTATTGCTTTTTTCTCTCGGACGACTTTAATCATCATATATATGTATATATATATATTAGAGCAACCAAACTTCCAAAAGGCATGATGCATGAAACATCAAGCGTCAAACATTGAATGCAACCGTCATTCAATTTTTTTATTTTATTATTATTGATTTTTAATTATAATTGTATACATAATACTCAAAAGCAAATAATATAACCGATCAAGAAATCAACGGTTACTTTAATTTCTTGCTTTTAGATTAAAACCTTTGACCTAATTTATACAATGTATAAATTGTATTACTTGCTCTAATACTTAATAAATCCAAAATGCTACACCATTACCTAAGCAAATTAAGAGTATTTAAATGAAAATAGTCTTAATACTCTAAATAATTCTACAATCCTCCCCCATTTAGAGTATTAAACAAGACTTGATTAGGGGATTTTGCTCCCACCAATCGGAATGCGCCACGTGGGCCAATCAGGTCCTGCCAAGTGTCCCCCAATTGGAACTGTCAGGGCTTGCCACGTGGCACGCGCTTATTCGTCCACCTTGGACCTATTATGTCATGACATGTGGCATACTCCATGCCTAATGGAGAAAACGGCCCCCCAGGCCCAACTTCCGAGGGAAGCCCAATCAGCCCTAGGTTAACCTAAACCTAGGATGGGCACGTTTCCCAAGGTTATAAATACCTCCCTTAAATCCTCATTAAGGGGGGGGGGGACGGAAAAAACACATTAATTACACACAGTAATAACCGGCTGATCTCGCTAACAAAGCAGATTACCTACATTAAACACTCTCACCTAGAGAGACCCAATCACTTTAATTTCCGCATTAATTACTCCTTAATCAAGTACTAACTTGACCGTTGGAGGCGGAGCTCCCACCACCAGGAGTCTCCGTTATTTTGCAGGTACAGGCGTCCGGTTCCAGTCTCGGAATTGTAACTCTCCCGCAGGACATCAGAAAACCCCGAAACATTTGGCGCCGTCTGTGGGGAGAGTACTTCTGAGATGGCATCCAAGTCTGTACCGACTCCTGAAGAGAGGCGTCCCCTAGACGACCCTCAAGTTCAGTCGGACCATGATACCGAGAGTGAATTTGAAGTTGAAGCTCACACAGCTTCAGACGGGACCCTAAGGGCCCGACGTACCCGTCATACCGAAAGGAGGGAACGGGAACATCTTCAAACTGGAAGTGAGCCAGCAGGCGCACCGCCTGTTCGGCAACAACC